TGTCCCCCAAGATGTGTTTGAGCTGTTCAGTTGGATGGTTTGTGAAAATATTGCGTTTGATGAAGTGAGTCTGTCCTCAACATAAAGGCATTATCATTCTATTCCTCTCCTAGCTTGGATAGCTGTGATTTGTTACATTGCTGTGCAATAAAATCAGGTTTTGATTTTGATATTATGGTATTATGTTCTCTGATTGATGCGTATTCAAGATCTGGACAGATTAGGTACTCTCAGAAGATTTTTGAAGTATTTCCTTCACCTAATATCATCGGTTTCACTTCAATAATTAATGCATATGCTCGGAAAGGAATGGGATGTGAATGCCTTGGATTGTTTGAAGAAATGATCCAAAAGGGTCTAAAACCAGATGAAGTAACATTCTTATGTATATTGTTGGGCTGCAACCATTCAGGCCTAGTTGTAGAGGGGAAAAAGATTTTTGATTCAATGAGACTTCATTGGGTGTGATGAAGGATCTTTTCATGTTGCCTAGTTGGGAAGTGAAGTAGATTTCACATTGTGACATGAGTTCAGACTTAGGAAGATTAAATGACTGCGTAATGTTTTTGACGGTGGAAGGGTATAAAGAGATGTTAGTTTGAGGCGAAGCAGGTGGGTTATCTCCTACGGAGTGTTCTGAAGTTTGTGTGATCCTTATGTTGTTGTTGGAAGATCTCCTTTACTAGTAAAATATATGTGATGCAATTTAAATTTGGGTTTGCTTAAGAGAGTGGGCCTGATTGTTCTAGGGTGAACGCGAGATTTGCATAAGATTTGAAGTACTAGTTGGTCTGTGTTGCACGAGCTTATGAAGGATTGAGTTTAATCTTACTATGGTATTATGACAATAATTGAGTATATGCATTATGAGTTATTCTGTGTTTTGATCTATGGCTTTGAGCCAAGTGGGGGAGTCTGCAATTGATTAGTTGATTGCACGGTTATGTGCTATGTTGGTTCCAGTTTGAGGCGTACTGGTGAATCAGTTATGGCTTATCGAGGTTGAGACCGAGGATGGCTCAAGTAAAGGAAATCTCAATAAAGGTTATGTTATGCTTTATGGGTGTATGAGAATCGTGGAACGACTTGAGTTGTTATCGGTAAAGGATGTGCGGTGCATAGATCATGAAGTTGCCTGGTTGCGTTAAGGTGAGTTTACACTCTGCGGTGTTGGAATGCTACTGGAGCACAGGTCGTCCGGTATGTTGATCGGTCTAATTGCGGTTTGAGTAGAGTGGATGACTCTCGAGAATTGTTCTAATGGGTTCAAGATTTTTACATGTAATAATTTGAGATTTTCAAGTTGTATATTTGGCTAGAAACTGAGGTTTGCATTGGAGGGTG